ATAGTCTTACCGTTGTTTCCTATTTTATTGGTACTATGTGGTCTGTCTGGTTGGTATATAAACCTAGTATGCTTGAAATAAATGATTTGTATCACAGAGGCTAAGATTGGTGTTCTGGACTTAACTGGCCGGGCTTGGCGGGAAGCAGGACTAATAAGGACTCTAGACTGCTCATACGGGTTTTACGTGTCATTGGTCCGATCGATAATTCACTGCTTTCTAATTGGCAGTATCGTTACGTTATACATTAGCAGGGCACACAGGCCGCAATTTATAGCAGTCTGATGTACCAAATGATGATCGAAAATCCAATTCAATTTTGATAGATACTGGTTTTCCTAGTGACCCATTATCTATTACTAAGATTCTCAATAAATTTGATGAAGAAGAATCAGACCCTGATGACCTCAAACTAAATGTCATTCATTCTCACCATCTAGTCACATTAATTGTAAGGATTCAACATTATTTCTTGGGAGAGGATAGAGTCAGAAAGCTTAAAGTCAGGATCTAAACTTCGAGTCTTTAAATAAAGGGGGTGATATGACGGGATGAAAAGTCAGAATTACATTCTTTTACTTATTATAATTTTTGTTCAACGTCCGTTTAGACTCAATGTAATAATTACTCAGTGTAGTATTTGTTTTGTTTTCCCGTATGACATTTTATTCTGTATAACATACGATATTCTTGTATTGAATTAACATGAATTAGCCTCAGCATGACACTCAGCATGTGGTAGGCTATAACCCTAAGTATTTTTCATATACGTTATTTCATCCTAATTATTAATCAAAATGGTTATACGAATCAATATATAAATGATTGTATTTTGGAATAGAATCGTCGTCATGTTTTCGGGTTAATCAATCATCATTTTTGTATTAGTCTTTGTGTTCTTACTTTGCATCGGTAGCTCACATTGCAAGTATAAGTGATAAGTGATTCCGACATAAAAATCAGAGACGAACTGATAAAACAAAGTAGTGTTCAATCTAGTAGACATATCATGAACCCGAAAGATAGAACGAGTGGACTACGAAAAAATAAGAAAGGGAGTTGCCCCAAAATTCGAGAATCCAAAGCAGGAAAGCCAAAACGGATATTTGGGTGTATAAAAAAAGACACAGGAAGGTATTGTATGAGTGATGGTTGAAAATACACTAATTACTAGACGTATAAATCATCTGCGATATAGAAAAAATGTTAATGAGTCATCTAAAGCCAAACCTTTGCCAGTGAAAATATTATGTGATACATTTAATATCCCACTACTACTACTACTACTACCACCATCATAAGTTGAAATGAGAAGAAATGAGTCGAAATTAGAATCTTGTTAAAGGTCATCATGAGAACAGAAATAACGAGATTTTTCCCAGATAGATCAAATGGTGAAGTCATAGGAACAAACTTCACGAGGGAAGCGATGTGTGGATGAGGATGATAATGATTAGTTGTTTGCTTAGTCAGACTTGTAGATAATCTGAAGGGCGTTAGATAAGTTTTATGTTCTCCTATCCTTATTATCATTGATCGTTGTTGTATTGTGTCACATAGTTGTCGCTTGTTGGTGTGGAAATGTATTCACATTCTGGTCAGACTTGTCACGTGTTCTAGATCTGTGTTGTGTTGAGGTCCAGTAGAATAGACGCTGGGAGAGAATCTAGTGTAGATATTTATCTAGGGCAAATTAAAGTCCAATTCCTGTAGACGAGAAATTCGACCGTTATAACACTTGTATTAAATTAAAATACGAATTTCAGCGAAGGGATCTCTTTTCAACGAATTTATTATCAAGCTGTACAATCATATATATCTGAAAATTTTGTTTTTGTAAAAGTACTAATTCCGTGAGGAAATGTGAACACAGTTAATAAAAAGGTTATAATACTAGATTACGTAATATGAATAATAACAATAACAATAACTTGTATTAAATGTCATTAGACACTTGTAAATCGTACATAATAACTGATTCATTATACGGCAAACATTTTGGAAATCTTAAAGCGGTAAAAAAGTTTGAATTAGAAATATGCAGGTTCTCTTCACTAATAATCGATAGATGTAAGGGAAATACATACTATATTCCCCCGATTATAATTCTATCATCCTATGATACTACTTCCTAAAAGTTAGTAGCATCGTTAAACAAAACATAAGTTTTATGAGACCCAGAGTGTGGCAAAGTTATAACCAAAAGCTAAACAAATTGTCGAATGTAATGTACATGAGCATTTATTTATGGTTTTTTACTTCTCAGCTTTACATATTATATCAATGCCCAATCAATAAATATCAAACTATTAACTACTACATAGATTTTAAGTAATTTTTTTTAGATTATTTATAGTTCAAATCAGCTAACATGGTTTAGTTACAACCACCTATTTGAGACTTGTCAGCTGTAAGTACCTGTATTGTGTTTACTCTTGATTTCGAAATTAGTCCTTCACTTCGACAATCAGAAGATTCGAACAACTTACAAATTAATCAAAACCTACCCCATTGTACAAGTCAGTGGCTATCTAGACTCAGTAGCTCATTGGATTATTCGTTGAGCGTGTAGAGTGAATGGTATTGGGTTCGAATCTCAGTGTAAACATAAAAAAATAGAATGTAGGTACATCCAATTGACGAGTCCCAAACGTAATGTAATCCATGTCATCAATTCCATACTAGCTACATTCCATGAATTGAGGAATTAAAGTTTAATAGACTAACTACAAGTATGTGGTTGTGATAGTAGTATGTTATTTTTTAGCGAATTTAGCAGTCATAAAAAACGCTTGTATCACATTTTGTGGACAGGTTAATAATACATTTGTTTTTTTTCCTGATTGTTTACATTTAAAGTGATTTAACATTGTTACTTGGATAATTATCGGAATGGGGATTTATGGAGATTGTAGTAACTTTAATAATTGAATTCATGAGTCGATCTAAACTAAACCAGAATTAAAAACCTGGAAGCACTGGAAGGGTTGCGCAAGATCATAAACCCATTGAAATTAAACGTTGATACCTTTGGATGCCGGCTCAGTGGTCTAGAGGTTAAACATTCGCGCTCCAAAATGATGGTCCTGGACTCGAGTCCCACGTGTGGGATTGTGGATAAACACTGTTGAGGAGTCCCATACTAGGAGTAAATGGCCCTCCAGTTCTTCCAGGTTTTTCATCGTGGTCTAGCTTAAATTCAACTTTTAAAAATGAATAATTAACAATTGTCTGAAATAATTACTCTATCATTTCCTTCTTTTGCTTTTTGTTATTCGTCTCTATTTCCTCTTTGTCTCTAAAATTCTATTTCTGTAACTTCATTGGCGAGACTAAAATTTATAGACGGGCCAATCAGATTTAAGAAAATAGGTCCCGAATTTTAGCGCAAAATTCATACACTCAATTGGTTAGATACTTTTTCGCCATTATAGCTGATATTAGTTTGTGATGAAAACCCTAAATCTATTTCCTAACCCTAATCATCAACTGTAAATCATAATTATAAATCCTCACAATAGTTTATAACCCTCATTTACTCCTAGTTAGTAGGTGGACATTTTCGAGGTCATCTTAGCGTTGCTCAACGATCATTCATAAATTATAGTCTCACCACTACATCTTCTCCACTTTACCATGATGCTGAGACTAATCCTTATTTAAATGCTCTTTTTAATCTCATTGCTTTTATTCTTCATCCATCTTCTCCATCTTTTATACTTTAATTTAATTCCTTTCCCTTGTTTTTCGACAATTCTTATTCTTGTACACGTTCACATATTATTATTATTGTTATTATTACTATTATTCTCGTCTATAATGTCACTATCAGTGTAGTGAACACAAACACAAATGGGGCAATCGAATATATATAGACACAAAATTACAGAATATTTCACCAAAATCTGAGAACCATACAGTAAATTGTTAATTTGCAAAATATCAATCGTCTCAGATTTCATTGTTCATGCATTTTCATACCAATTGCTTTCTGTTCCCGTTGTTTCTTTTTGGATCTTCTACTTAACTACATTCTATTTTTGACGATTGTTATATATTACTTATTATGGATATAAGTAGCCACACCGCACTAGTACTACTAGTTACTACAATACTGTATATAAAATGTATTCAAAGTACATTTTATATGTAATCAATCAATTACAATAATGTAAAAGTTTAATTGAAAGCTATTTCATTAATATCCAATTGATTAAAATAAAGAACTAAATAAATGTTATATCATTGGACATTACTAAATAAAGATTAATAAAGGACAAATGATTTACCTTATTAGTTGATTTCTTTCTTTTTTTTTCATTAAATTTTTAAATACAAACCTAACGAATGATGAATGTAGGATGAAAACGGTTATAGTTTGATTGAAATAAAAGAAATTAATATAAATCAATAGATTTAATATGGATTAAGTTATTAATATAAAACTGTAATAATAATAATAATAATAATAAGTAATAGTGATAATAATAACTGTAATAGTAATAATAATGGTAATAATAATGGTATTAGTAGTAGTAATAGTAATAATTCCAATAACAGTAGTTGTAATAATAATAATAATAATAATAATAATAATAATGATAATTGACACCTTTAAAACTAGTTAATCATAGAAAACTCAGTATAGTCTATATAAAAGAACTAGAAAGGTGTATATTTTTAAAGAATTAGTAAATCAACTAAGTTCCGTATAAAATGAGGTAAATTTAAGATTCATTTTTCCTTTTCATATTTAGTTCATATAGTATATTAGCAATAAGAAAATTAGTATATAACTATTACTGATTACAAAAACAAACGAACAACAAACAAGCAAAGAAACAGAAGAAGAAGAAGAAGAAGACGACGACGAAGAAGAAGAGGAACAAGAAGAAGAAGAAGAAACATATTCAAGTGTGGAAAAATCCAACTTTATATCATACTGATTATTTAATGTAAAACTGTAAATCAATTATACACAAATGATAATATTAATGATAATGATTTTATTGAAATTTTATTACTATATAACACTACTACAATTAAATTATATTAATGGACAATTGAATGAATGTGATAATTTACAAGAGAAACAAATAATTTCAAATATTATTTATGATACAAATGAAATTAATCCTATTGATAATAACAATCCATTAGAAGAGGATATTGTGAATATAAAAGAAATGGAATGGAATAATCAAAAATCAATAACTCGTAGTTGGCCATTAGATGTAATGAATAATGATGAATGTCATCAGATGACAATAAATTCTAATGTAAATAATCCATGCCAAGAATTAAAACAAAATCAGAAGAAAAATGAAAAGGATATAAAATGTAATGAAGGAGCATATAAAGAAATGAACAAAATCAGATCAAATCAAAATAACATAATGAAAAATAAAGAAAAATCCAATAGAATATATGGAAATCAGTTTGATGAATTCAGCCAAACAGAGTGTAATCAGATAAAAAATGTAAAAAAATACGACATAGAACACCTAAATTGGAAGATGAGAAATGAAGAATACGATATAAACGATGAAGAAAACACGATGATTATTTATGAAAATATATGGGAAAAAAGAGAAAACATAAGCGAAAACGAGATAACAAACAAAATTAACGAAAATGAAATTAAAACCACTCAAACACCACTCATTACAACACAATACGTCCAACCATCATCAACATTACAACCAGTTCCAATTGTCACGTCCAACAAATCAAGCGACGCTGAATATAGCATTAATGGAATATTGACGAACACTGAATCTTCAATCTATACAACAAAATACGTCCAACCATCATCAACATTACAACCAGTTCCAGTTGTCACTGCAGTCCCACCAGTCTACAATCAGTCCACCACACAATCCACATCGACCACCACTCAAACACCACTCATTACAACACAATACGTCCAACCATCATCAACATTACAACCAGTTCCAATTGTCACGTCCAACAAATCAAGCGACGCTGAATATAGCATTAATGGAATATTGACGAACACTGAATCTTCAATCTATACAACAAAATACGTCCAACCATCATCAACATTACAACCAGTTCCAGTTGTCACTGCAGTCCCACCAGTCTACAATCAGTCCACCACACAATCCACATCGACCACCACTCAAACACCACTCATTACAACACAATACGTCCAACCATCATCAACATTACAACCAGTTCCAATTGTCACGTCCAACAAATCAAGCGACGCTGAATATAGCATTAATGGAATATTGACGAACACTGAATCTTCAAACTATACAACAAAATACGTCCAACCATCATCAACATTACAACCAGTTCCAGTTGTCACTGCAGTCCCACCAGTCTACAATCAGTCCACCACACAATCCACATCGACCACCACTCAAACACCACTCATTACAACACAATACGTCCAACCATCATCAACATTACAACCAGTTCCAATTGTCACGTCCAACAAATCAAGCGACGCTGAATATAGCATTAATGGAATATTGACGAACACTGAATCTTCATTCTATACAACAAAATACGTCCAACCATCATCAACATTACAACCAGTTCCAGTTGTCACTGCAGTCCCACCAGTCTACAATCAGTCCACCACACAATCCACATCGACCACCACTCAAACACCACTCATTACAACACAATACGTTCAACCATCATCAACATTACAACCAGTTCCAATTGTCACGTCCAACAAATCAAGCGACGCTGAATATAGCATTAATGGAATATTGACGAACACTGAATCTTCAATCTATACAACAAAATACGTCCAACCATCATCAACATTACAACCAGTTCCAGTTGTCACTGCAGTCCCACCAGTCTACAATCAGTCCACCACACAATCCACATCGACCACCACTCAAACACCACTCATTACAACACAATACGTCCAACCATCATCAACATTACAACCAGTTCCAATTGTCACGTCCAACAAATCAAGCGACGCTGAATATAGCATTAATGGAATATTGACGAACACTGAATCTTCAATCTATACAACAAAATACGTCCAACCATCATCAACATTACAACCAGTTCCAGTTGTCACTGCAGTCCCACCAGTCTACAATCAGTCCACCACACAATCCACATCGACCACCACTCAAACACCACTCATTACAACACAATACGTCCAACCATCATCAACATTACAACCAGTTCCAATTGTCACGTCCAACAAATCAAGCGACGCTGAATATAGCATTAATGGAATATTGACGAACACTGAATCTTCAATCTATACAACAAAATACGTCCAACCATCATCAACATTACAACCAGTTCCAATTGTCACTGCAGTCCCACCAGTCTACAATCAGTCCACCACACAATCCACATCGACCACCACTCAAACACCACTCATTACAACACAATACGTCCAACCATCATCAACATTACAACCAGTTCCAATTGTCACGTCCAACAAATCAAGCGACGCTGAATATAGCATTAATGGAATATTGACGAACACTGAATCTTCAATCTATACAACAAAATACGTCCAACCATCATCAACATTACAACCAGTTCCAGTTGTCACTGCAGTCCCACCAGTCTACAATCAGTCCACCACACAATCCACATCGACCACCACTCAAACACCACTCATTACAACACAATACGTCCAACCATCATCAACATTACAACCAGTTCCAATTGTCACGTCCAACAAATCAAGCGACGCTGAATATAGCATTAATGGAATATTGACGAACACTGAATCTTCAATCTATACAACAAAATACGTCCAACCATCATCAACATTACAACCAGTTCCAGTTGTCACTGCAGTCCCACCAGTCTACAATCAGTCCACCACACAATCCACATCGACCACCACTCAAACACCACTCATTACAACACAATACGTCCAACCATCATCAACATTACAACCAGTTCCAATTGTCACGTCCAACAAATCAAGCGACGCTGAATATAGCATTAATGGAATATTGACGAACACTGAATCTTCAATCTATACAACAAAATACGTCCAACCATCATCAACATTACAACCAGTTCCAGTTGTCACTGCAGTCACACCAGTCTACAATCAGTCCACCACACAATCCACATCGACCACCACTCAAACACCACTCATTACAACACAATACGTCCAACCATCATCAACATTACAACCAGTTCCAATTGTCACGTCCAACAAATCAAGCGACGCTGAATATAGCATTAATGGAATATTGACGAACACTGAATCTTCAATCTATACAACAAAATACGTCCAACCATCATCAACATTACAACCAGTTCCAGTTGTCACTGCAGTCCCACCAGTCTACAATCAGTCCACCACACAATCCACATCGACCACCACTCAAACACCACTCATTACAACACAATACGTCCAACCATCATCAACATTACAACCAGTTCCAATTGTCACGTCCAACAAATCAAGCGACGCTGAATATAGCATTAATGGAATATTGACGAACACTGAATCTTCAATCTATACAACAAAATACGTCCAACCATCATCAACATTACAACCAGTTCCAGTTGTCACTGCAGTCCCACCAGTCTACAATCAGTCCACCACACAATCCACATCGACCACCACTCAAACACCACTCATTACAACACAATACGTCCAACCATCATCAACATTACAACCAGTTCCAATTGTCACGTCCAACAAATCAAGCGACGCTGAATATAGCATTAATGGAATATTGACGAACACTGAATCTTCAATCTATACAACAAAATACGTCCAACCATCATCAACATTACAACCAGTTCCAGTTGTCACTGCAGTCCCACCAGTCTACAATCAGTCCACCACACAATCCACATCGACCACCACTCAAACACCACTCATTACAACACAATACGTCCAACCATCATCAACATTACAACCAGTTCCAATTGTCACGTCCAACAAATCAAGCGACGCTGAATATAGCATTAATGGAATATTGACGAACACTGAATCTTCAATCTATACAACAAAATACGTCCAACCATCATCAACATTACAACCAGTTCCAGTTGTCACTGCAGTCACACCAGTCTACAATCAGTCCACCACACAATCCACATCGACCACCACTCAAACACCACTCATTACAACACAATACGTCCAACCATCATCAACATTACAACCAGTTCCAATTGTCACGTCCAACAAATCAAGCGACGCTGAATATAGCATTAATGGAATATTGACGAACACTGAATCTTCAATCTATACAACAAAATACGTCCAACCATCATCAACATTACAACCAGTTCCAGTTGTCACTGCAGTCCCACCAGTCTACAATCAGTCCACCACACAATCCACATCGACCACCACTCAAACACCACTCATTACAACACAATACGTCCAACCATCATCAACATTACAACCAGTTCCAATTGTCACGTCCAACAAATCAAGCGACGCTGAATATAGCATTAATGGAATATTGACGAACACTGAATCTTCAATCTATACAACAAAATACGTCCAACCATCATCAACATTACAACCAGTTCCAGTTGTCACTGCAGTCCCACCAGTCTACAATCAGTCCACCACACAATCCACATCGACCACCACTCAAACACCACTCATTACAACACAATACGTCCAACCATCATCAACATTACAACCAGTTCCAATTGTCACGTCCAACAAATCAAGCGACGCTGAATATAGCATTAATGGAATATTGACGAACACTGAATCTTCAATCTATACAACAAAATACGTCCAACCATCATCAACATTACAACCAGTTCCAGATGTCACTGCAGTCACACCAGTCTACAATCAGTCCACCACACAATCCACATCGACCACCACTCAAACACCACTCATTACAACACAATACGTCCAACCATCATCAACATTACAACCAGTTCCAATTGTCACGTCCAACAAATCAAGCGACGCTGAATATAGCATTAATGGAATATTGACGAACACTGAATCTTCAATCTATACAACAAAATACGTCCAACCATCATCAACATTACAACCAGTTCCAGATGTCACTTCAGTCACACCATTCTACAATCAGTCCACCACACAATCCACATCGACCACCACTCAAACACCACTCATTACAACACAATACGTCCAACCATCATCAACATTACAACCAGTTCCAATTGTCACGTCCAACAAATCAAGCGACGCTGAATATAGCATTAATGGAATATTGACGAACACTGAATCTTCAATCTATACAACAAAATACGTCCAACCATCATCAACATTACAACCAGTTCCAGTTGTCACTGCAGTCCCACCAGTCTACAATCAGTCCACCACACAATCCACATCGACCACCACTCAAACACCACTCATTACAACACAATACGTCCAACCATCATCAACATTACAACCAGTTCCAATTGTCACGTCCAACAAATCAAGCGACGCTGAATATAGCATTAATGGAATATTGACGAACACTGAATCTTCAATCTATACAACAAAATACGTCCAACCATCATCAACATTACAACCAGTTCCAGTTGTCACTGCAGTCCCACCAGTCTACAATCAGTCCACCACACAATCCACATCGACCACCACTCAAACACCACTCATTACAACACAATACGTCCAACCATCATCAACATTACAACCAGTTCCAGTTGTCACGTCCAACAAATCAAGCGACGCTGAATATAGCATTAATGGAATATTGACGAACACTGAATCTTCAATCTATACAACAAAATACGTCCAACCATCATCAACATTACAACCAGTTCCAGTTGTCACTGCAGTCCCACCAGTCTACAATCAGTCCACCACACAATCCACATCGACCACCACTCAAACACCACTCATTACAACACAATACGTCCAACCATCATCAACATTACAACCAGTTCCAATTGTCACGTCCAACAAATCAAGCGACGCTGAATATAGCATTAATGGAATATTGACGAACACTGAATCTTCAATCTATACAACAAAATACGTCCAACCATCATCAACATTACAACCAGTTCCAGTTGTCACTGCAGTCCCACCAGTCTACAATCAGTCCACCACACAATCCACATCGACCACCACTCAAACACCACTCATTACAACACAATACGTCCAACCATCATCAACATTACAACCAGTTCCAATTGTCACGTCCAACAAATCAAGCGACGCTGAATATAGCATTAATGGAATATTGACGAACACTGAATCTTCAATCTATACAACAAAATACGTCCAACCATCATCAACATTACAACCAGTTCCAGTTGTCACTGCAGTCCCACCAGTCTACAATCAGTCCACCACACAATCCACATCGACCACCACTCAAACACCACTCATTACAACACAATACGTCCAACCATCATCAACATTACAACCAGTTCCAATTGTCACGTCCAACAAATCAAGCGACGCTGAATATAGCATTAATGGAATATTGACGAACACTGAATCTTCAATCTATACAACAAAATACGTCCAACCATCATCAACATTACAACCAGTTCCAGTTGTCACTGCAGTCACACCAGTCTACAATCAGTCCACCACACAATCCACATCGACCACCACTCAAACACCACTCATTACAACACAATACGTCCAACCATCATCAACATTACAACCAGTTCCAATTGTCACGTCCAACAAATCAAGCGACGCTGAATATAGCATTAATGGAATATTGACGAACACTGAATCTTCAATCTATACAACAAAATACGTCCAACCATCATCAACATTACAACCAGTTCCAGTTGTCACTGCAGTCCCACCAGTCTACAATCAGTCCACCACACAATCCACATCGACCACCACTCAAACACCACTCATTACAACACAATACGTCCAACCATCATCAACATTACAACCAGTTCCAATTGTCACGTCCAACAAATCAAGCGACGCTGAATATAGCATTAATGGAATATTGACGAACACTGAATCTTCAATCTATACAACAAAATACGTCCAACCATCATCAACATTACAACCAGTTCCAGTTGTCACTTCAGTCACACCAGTCTACAATCAGTCCAACACACAATCCACATCGACCACCACTCAAACACCACTCATTACAACACAATACGTCCAACCATCATCAACATTACAACCAGTTCCAATTGTCACGTCCAACAAATCAAGCGACGCTGAATATAGCATTAATGGAATATTGACGAACACTGAATCTTCAATCTATACAACAAAATACGTCCAACCATCATCAACATTACAACCAGTTCCAGTTGTCACTGCAGTCCCACCAGTCTACAATCAGTCCACCACACAATCCACATCGACCACCACTCAAACACCACTCATTACAACACAATACGTCCAACCATCATCAACATTACAACCAGTTCCAATTGTCACGTCCAACAAATCAAGCGACGCTGAATATAGCATTAATGGAATATTGACGAACACTCAATCTTCAATCTATACAACAAAATACGTCCAACCATCATCAACATTACAACCAGTTCCAGTTGTCACTGCAGTCCCACCAGTCTACAATCAGTCCACCACACAATCCACATCGACCACCACTCAAACACCACTCATTACAACACAATACGTCCAACCATCATCAACATTACCACCAGTTCCAATGCTTACTACAATCGCACTCAGCTCCATTCAACCTACGTCCAATAATTTTTCTTCTGTTTTTTATTCAGATGATGCGTATTCTTATGATTCATCTCTGGATGTTGTTTCATCAAATGATGATCTTTTTATTGTTAGTAATGTGACTGATTCTCCTTTGCTTACTCCTGATATTGATTTTCCTAATTTCAACTATGATACTTTAAGTAATCCCTTTTCTTTTGATTCTCATTTTGATTCTTATTCTTTTCCTGGAGAACCTGTTGTTGACAATTCATATGATGATAATTACAACAATTGTCATCCTGTTCACGAGAATGACTGTCATTCATTGGAGAATTATATACCTTTCTATGATTATAACAAAGTAATAATATTGAGATTATTTAAATGTTGTCAACATTTTTATTCGTGTCATATCAATATTTTAATGAAACAATTATGTGATCAATATTTTCAATATTAAGATGGATTGTCTTATTTTTTTGATCTCATAATTATTTTAAATGTTTAATTACAGTCGATTTCATTTGGTAATTTACATCTTTGTTGTTTATTTTTTGTTCTCTTTCTAATCCATTTTGAAGAATTAATGATGTTTACAAAGTGTTTTGTTTTGAAAGGTTTATTTGATATAGTACAAATATCATCTGCAGTTCAAATAATTTAATTGTGACAAATAAATCAATATTTTATTCATGTAAAATTAGATATGAGCCATAAAACTCCTTCGATTTATGTGTGGGCTAGGATATTCCTTGGATGCTTAAACCGAAGGAGGTGGTTTTCTTAGGGGGTCACATGTGGAGTCTTCAACCTAAATGTCTTATTCACAAGACAGTGAAGCAACATCAGGAAATTCAGTTCCATTGAAGCCGGTGACCAACAATAGGTTCATACGCCATTTATTCCCTCAGGATATTGGTAACCATGTGTTTTATTGGTTGTGAATTAGGGTTTTCTAACTCTCTTAGGTGGATCCTCCGTTTCCACGAATCCGGTTAAAGCGCCGGGCATTCACTTTTCTTCCTCTCAATTTTGTCGACAAAACCTTCTCCGAGAGAAGGCAGTGAGTAGGATTTCCCTGTCAGTGGTTGTATACGCGTGGCCAGGTGAGAGAAGTTCGAGAGGGAGAGCGGACTATTCCCCATCTCGGCCATGCCAGGGCATTTGAGGGGCGATGATGATGATTTCCTTCGTCTTGATTCTGTTTATTCTTATTTTGATGATGATTCTTCTGTTAAGTTACCTATTGAGATCAATTCAATCGAAGTATATTTTCAGTTTATATCTGGTCTTTTATTCATTAATTTTCAACTCAAAGTTTTTTAATATAGATGTATAGTGATTTAACTCCGCCTGGAGTCCCTCCGGGGGCTACTGCCGGTCCCAAGCCCGGATAAAGGAGGAGGGTTGGGCATGGGGTTAGCGTCCGAATCCCGTAGAAAACTAACTCGCTAAAAAAACGCTAACCAGAAAAAATTATTCAAACCTTATAACCTCTGCCCTGGGAGTCAGAAGGTCTTCATTTAGAAGAACTATGACGCCTCATGATGAAAGCCGAATTCATTCGGAAGTTACGAGGCCGATGCCCCTTCTGACAACCAAAGCGACCATTTATTTAGGTACATGGAATGTTCGTACAATGTGGGACACCGGGAGAGCCTTCCAAATTGCTGCAGAAATGAGAAGATACAACCTAGAGGTGCATGGGATCAGTGAAACACATTGGACGCAAATTGGACAACAACGACTAACTTCAGGAGAGCTACTGCTATACTCCGGCCATGAAGAAGAAAATGCCCCACATACACAAGGAGTTGCATTGATGCTGTTCAAACAAGCACAATATGCACTTACAGGATGGGAATCTTATGGACCAAGGATCATCAAAGCCTCCTTCAAGACAAAGAAAGAGGGCATTTCAATGAACATCATCCAATGCTATGCGCCTACCAACGATTACAATGAAGACGCTAAAGATCAATTCCACAACACGCTGTAGTCAATCGTCAAGAAGTTTTCAACAAAAGACCAGACCATTCTGATGGGAGATTTAAATGCCAAGGTTGGAACGGACAACACTGGATATGAAGACATCATGGGACGACAAGGACTGGGAGAAAGGAAGGAAAATGGTGAGAGATTTGCAAACTTATGTGCCTTTAATAGACTGGTCATAGGTGGCACCATATTCCCACATAAACGCATTCACAAAACCACATGGACTTCACCGGATCACACCACGCAAAACCAAATCGAACATATTTGGATCAACAAAACGTTCAGGAGGACTATAGAGGACGTGAGAATCAAGAGAGGAGCTGATATAGCATCAGATCATCACTTGCTGGTCGCCAAGATGAAATTGAAACTCAAGAAACACTGGACAACGGGGCGGACAATATCACAAAAGTTCGATACGGCCTTTCTTCTGGATACTAACAAACTTAACAAATTCAAGATAGTCCTCAGTAACAAGTTCCAGGCCTTTCATGATCTACTCAATGGAGAAGGAACTACTGTGAAGAGCAACTGGAAGAGGATCAAAGAGGCAATCACTTCAACATGCCATGAGGTCCTGGGTCACAAGAAGCACCATCACAAGGAATTGATCACTGTTGATACACTGGATAAGATTCAGGAAAGAAGGAACAAGAAGGCAGCAATCAATACCAGTCGAACAAGAGCAGAAAAAGCCAAGGCACAAGCTGAATACACAGTAGTAAACAAACAAGTGAAGAAAAGCATCAGAACCGACAAACGTAAATACGTGGAAGATCTAGCAAAGACGGCGGAAAAGGCTGCATGAGAAGGGAACATGAGACAACTGTATGACATAACAAAGAAACTCTCTGGAAATCGCCGCAAACCAGAACGACCAGTGAAAAGCAAGGAAGGCGAGGTAATCACCAACATGAAGAGCAACAAAACAGGTGGGTGGAACACTTCAAAGAACTCTTGAATCGACCAGCCCCACTGAACCCACCCAACATCGAAGCAGCACCCACGGACCTCCCAATCAATGTTGGCCCACCAACAATTGAAGAAATCAGCATGTCCATCAGACAAATCAAGAGTGTCAAAGAAGCAGGACCAGAAAACATTCCAGCAGAGGCACTAACGTAGTGGCAACTGCAAGGATACTCCACATTCGCTTCAATAAGATTTGGGATGAGGAACAAGTACCAAAAGACTGGAAGGAAAGACTTCTGATCAAAATACCAAAGAAAGGCGATTTCAGCAAGTTAGAGAACTACAGTGGTATCACTCTTCTCCCAATACCAGGAAAAGCATTCAACAGGGTATTGTTAAACAGAATGAAGGACTCCGTAGACGCACAACTTCAAGACTAACAGGCAGGATTCCGTAAGGATAGATCGTGTACAAACCAAATCGCAACTCTACGGATCATTGTGGAACAATCAATTGAATGGAATTCATCACTCTACATCAAATTCATTGACTACGAAAAGGCATTTGACATGGTGGACAGAACAACACTATGGTAGCTTCTTCGACAATACGGCGTGCCTCAGAAGATAGTCAATATCATGCAGAGTTCATATGGTGGATTACACTACAAAATCGTGCATGGAGGACAGTTGACAAAGTCGTTCGAAGTGAAGACCGGTGTTAGACAAGGTTGCTTACTCTCACCCTTTCTCTTTCTCCTGGTGATCGACTGGATCATGAAGACGTCAAAATCTGAAGGGAAGCACGGGATACAATGGACATCTAGGATGCAGTTGGACGATCTAGACTTGGCAGATGATCTGACCCTTCTATCCCAAACGCAACAACAAATGCAGGAGAAGACGAACAGTGTAGCAGCAGCCTCAGCAGCAGTAGGTCTCAATATACACAAAGGGAAAAGCAAGCTTCTCCGATACAACATAGTATGCACCAATCCAATCACAATTGACGGAGAAGATTTGGAAGATGTAAAAACCTTTACATATTTGGGCAGCATCATTGATGAACAGGGTGGATCTGATGCAGATGTGAAGGCGCGGATCGGCAAAGCAAGAGCAGCATATCTACAACTGAGAAACGTGTGGAACTCAAAGAAACTGTCAACCGACACCAAGGTCAGGATTTTAAATACAAATGTCAAGACAGTTCTACTGTATGGGGCAGAAACCTGGAGAACTAGGAAAGCCATCATACAGAAGATATAGGTGTTTATTAACAGTTGTCTACGCAAAATACTTCAGATCCGTTGGCTGGACACTATTAGCAACAACCTACTGTGGGAGAAAGCAAACCAGATCCCAGTGGAGGAAGGAGTTAGGAAGAAGCGCTGGAAGTGGATAGGACACACACTGAGGAAAGCACCCAACTGCGTCACAAGACAAGCCGTCACATGGAATCCTCAAGGCCAAAGGAAGAGGAGAGGAAAACCAAATAACACATTACACCGAGAAGTGGAGACAGACATGAAAAAAATGAACGAGAATTGGATGGAACTAGAAAAGAAGGCCCAGGACAGAGTGGGTTGGAGAATGCTGGTCGACGGCCTATGCTCTATTGGGAGTAACAGGCGTAAGTAAGTAAGTAATAGTGATTTGATACATTTAATATTATTAATATCTTAGTTCTTTAGTTCACATCTATAACAATAATTTATTTGTTTGTATCAGAAAGTTTGTTTTGGGTAGACTAATAGGTCCTGGGTTCGAATCTTATGAGGTGGGATCCTAAATACACACTGATGAGGAGTCCCATATTAGGACGAAACGACCGTCCAGTGCTTTTTGGTTTTCTATGGTGTTCTGGCTTCAATTGACTTATGATCTCAACTTATTTATTTGATATTATAAGTTGAATCACTTTAAACAATTTAACATTATTTATAAGAATCTATAAAAGGAATGAACAAATGCTTTGTCTAACTACTAATGAAACCTTCAATTAATTTTAATAAATGACAAAAAAATCATTAAATAATCTCTAAGGTTTTTTTCATACAAAATCTATAAAAAAAAATTGTTTTTTTTTTTATTTATAAAGGGGACAAATTTCGAAATGTTAATATAAACCTTAATTAGGTTATCAGTCATTGAAACAGCATAAAGTACTTTAATGATTTCAAATTATTCATTGAGTATTTACTTTATTCTACCTAATGTTTTCTAGATATTTAAGTATAAGATTAAGAGAATAAACAAATATTTAGTATTTATCCATACTTCTACTTTAGAAGAAATTGATCAATCTAAATAAATAATTCAATTAGTACTAAATATTGAAACTGATATCGTTAGTATTCATGAACTTTTGGTGGAGTTTTGTTCTCTGAGCTGGATGGTTTGGTTGTGGAGCTTTCATCGTTCTTCTGAACGACATCATCAGCACAAACTTCAAATAGAAGTGAAGTGTTCGAATTTCTCCATATGTGTTTCACAGCTTGTTCTGTGCACCTCGATGTTGATTGGTTCTCCACCATCTCAAATTCATGAACTT